AGGAGAGAGGAGAGAGGAGGGAGAAGAGAGGAGAGAGGAGAGAGGAGAGAGGAAGGAAGAGAGGAGAGAAGAGAGGAGCGAGGAAAGAGGAGAGAAGAGAAGAGAGAGAGGAGAGAGGAGAGGAGAGAGAGGAGGAGAAAGAGGAGAAAGGGATGACCCCGGACCTAAGTCTCCTAAGTGGTTGCGCTCGTGGGTTCTGATTATCATTGCATGTACGTGACACGTGTCTGCATTCGGGTTCGTGGCTCCTATCTGGTTTTTGCAGCGTTCCTTTTCTGTCCGCAGGCAGAAATGGCCACGGGCCGAGCGAAGGTACGAAAAATAGTGTTTAGGACGAGTTTTTTTCGAACGGGTCGGCTTAAGCACACTCAGGCGCACAAACTTGACCTTGGAGCTCTTGGACGAATCCCTCCACCTATACACACAGCGCACTTCGCTCAACACAAGCGTCGACAGCGCATGCTTGTCCTGAACATCTCGAAGGATGCCAGTGATCTCATCCATCTGGTCCTTCCGGCATAGATAACATGGAGCATTCGCTGAAAGACTGATGTATACATTGCAGGAAACGCATGAATAAATGTGTATTGCTGTAAGAAATGAGTGCCGGACCAAATCTCTTTCATAACGAGGAGACCATGGGAAGTAGGGGTGGCCCCTATCGGTGATGCGAGGTTTGGAGGGTACGGGTTGCGGGATGGCCTGCATCGGTTCTCGGTAAAAAAAAAAAAAGAGTACGGTTTTGAATCTCATGACCAGCCAAGACATGTGCCGAGACTCCGCGGACACCGAGAGGGTCGCCGATTCCGCGCAGAATTTTGAGGATGCTCCACACGCTAGCGCAATGTTGATGAGGTGCGGCGGCTCCGCTGGCCCTACCTCGTGCTCTGACATATTTTTCGTTGAGTGAAAGACAGACCACGGATCACGTCCTGTTATCCGATACCTCACGCCGACCTTCATCACACCTTGCATCAGATCCATCCATCACAAGCAGCACACAATCCTATTACACCACCATCACGCCATCATATTTGAAGACCACCTCCACTGAACAACCCTTCGCCAAGCTTTCGGGAAAAACGTCGAAACCTTTCCAAGAATCCAGAAATTTACAAGAAAGATGCCACGAAATCAAGGAGCTTCAAAATTCGAACAACAAATCCAAAGCTGATCTAGCCATGACCCCAAGTTTTTGGAATTCCAAATTGCCACATTCTGAAAATTCTGAAAATTCCAACAATTCCGAAACTAAACCATGGTTCGGGATTCTTGGAATGTTGATTTTGGAATTCAAAATTCCAAGAACCCAAGGACATCCTTCCTGAAGTCTTGGATTTGTTGAAGCTTTGGCATACTTGGAGACCTATTAGGTTGGTCCTGGCGGACCGAGCATATAGATTCAATATGATTCACTATGGAGTGATATACGTAGACACATGCATTTACACATTTGTGTACACATCAAAGGACGTGTTCATGTTGCTGACCTAGACATCTGTGTCTAGCAAATCTGCAGAAAGCAAGGACAGCCCCCCTCCCCCCCCGCAACAGGGCCTTCATGACGTCGGAGGCAGTCCGGGAACCCAACTCCTCCCGCCATTCTATCTCTGGAGAGAATTGCCACAAATTGCGCTTAAAAGTTGGATTTGTTGCAAAGCTTTCCTGGCTCTCAGCCAGCCGCTTCTGCTGCAGGGCCTGAGGCGGACGCCAATAGAGCGATGAGGAGTTACTTGAACCTTTCATAGAAGAGGCCCTGGGCTGACCTTGTGCTCTTCTGCGGCTCTTCGGAGGTCCTGTGCAGGGCGAAGGATTGGGCGCCCCAACAAGTTTGCAGCGCAGCGGGCTCTCCAGCTGGATGTCCCAAGGAACCATGTCCTCAGCAAAGTCTCTCGTTCCAACAGCAAATGCTCCTCCAAACAACAAACACAATGATCTGAATTCAGGAATAACGTATGCTGTAGAAAGTGAAGAGTCACACCCTTGGCGACAAGTGATAATCTCACTTTGCTCCGAGGGGCGCCCGAGCACTCCACCTTGGTCAGGTTCGGCCGGTCTCTGACAGCCGAAGCCAGCTCCGTCAGCAGCTTCCGAAGCACCTCGGAGTTTCGGAGTCTCGGAGTCTCGGAGCTGAGAACGGCAGGAAAAGCAGCAAGACAGCAGTAGCGGGCAGTAGCGCTACAAGACTATAGTAGCCAGGCAAATCTCATAATAACGCATGAGGCGTGAACATAGTGCGCGCAGCCTCTTGAAAAGAGGCCGCTGTAGGGACATGGCCACACTGGCGCCCTCGCCGTCTGTGGGCCGCGTCTCATCCTCAAAGCTTTCAAACGAAAGCTAACCGCCATAGCAGCTTCGCGCCTGCAGCTTCGCCTGTTTGAGGGTTGGGGCCATTGGGGCCCTTGGGGCCGCGGCCCCGGAGTCGTAGTCGTTCTCCGCGAAGAGGGCCCGCGTCTTCTCCAACTGCACAAAAGCCAGAGGTTTTTGCAGTCTCAGAATTCAGGCCAAGGCCAAGGGATGGTCGCCTGGGCTGCGGCCTTGGCTTCGGCTTCCTCAAACTCATTGAGATCTCAAAGACAAAAAGTCTGAAAAGACGGCGGAGCTTTCCTGGCCTCAGGGTCAACTTCCTCTTCCTCCTCGACCTCCACCTTCGGAGCCTAAGAGAATCGTCAGAGCCTGGCATCAGAGCCTTGCTTCAGCCAGGGAATGCCGGGGCCGCGACGTAGTTCGAGGTGTCGAAATCCACCGGAGCCAGGGTCTGTCTCCCAGCAAAAAGGGTCTGGCAGTCGCGGACCTTGCTCCCCCAAACAGCCTCCGCATCCTGAAACCCGGGCAGGTAGGCAGAGCCTCGACGCTCAGCTCTTGTAGTCGCCTGCATCGCCGCACGAGACCTCAACAAGAAACCTAGGAGCTTCTGGACCCCTTAGTAAGGAATGCTTATGACCACGTGCTAGCTGGCCGATACTCGCTGGCCGGTGGGACTTATATGGTCTTCTCCCACCATGTCATTGCTGGGTCTGGGAATTGGACTTGGTGCTCGCAGGGGCTCAGAAAGATCATATGCGCAGGGGTTGCGGAGGCCAGTGTAGAACCCGTTGAAATTGACATGGACGTACAGGCATTCCATAGAACGAACGGTCGACAAATGAGTGCATTTGCGCCCGGGCTTTTCAATTGGGCCTTCAAAAGCGCAAGGTTCATTCTTGGGGGTTTCAGGATCACGTAGACGCTGTCAGGAATGATCTCGAGTGAAGGTCTTCAGACATCCAAGATCGCAAGGATCATACCATCCCTGTGACCGTTGCCTCTCAACCTTTCCAGATCCTCCAGCTGGCATCATGCACCAGAAGTGACGATAGTCACTTAGATGACACCCCCGAACCGGCCCGTTCCTGTGGCTGGCAATTTCCAATTTATACAAGGATGCAAATGTCTGAACACACAGCATTCATGCAAGTTCAAAAAAATCAATTTGGGGTTTCGGGTTGGGGTTGGGGCTGACATGTGGATGATGTGTAGTGTTCCTATCATGCTAGGGCTACATGTGCATTCTTACGCGAAGGTATATACCTGCTCGTACGCCTGTGGCTACTGCGTGGATTGCCGGGGAATGATATGCAGCTGTACCTCCAAGGGCCGCACCAAGCAGAAACTCTAAGCCTGTGTGGCCCACAGGGTTGCAGTGGAGCTCCTCAACACGTCCACCAGTTCTCCGCAAATCCCAATGACTATGAATGACTATTTTTTAACACACAGTGACAAAATTACAATGAACAAGAACTTTGAAGAGCTTGGGAGGTCTCAAACTCCAATGCCACGGGGACCATGACCATCAGTTTTACATGGTAGTTTCCCTAACTAGGAGGACTCTAACATGGACCCCAACATACTATGACCCTTATTATGGGGATCCCTAAACTTGGGAAACCACAACTTAATTAGAGAGCAAACCATGACATTGAGCGTTGTTTACTATTTTTTGTCTGCAGCGGGCTGGTAAACTCTAATTGCGCACTTTGATGGGAATGTCGGCGGTTCCAGACTCCTAAGACTTCTAGCATGCACAGCTGCTCCCATTGCAATGCCAAGAGAAGAGAGCCTGGCTCAAGCCAAAAGCCAAGAATGACTGCATAGGTTTGTATCTAATGGTCGCAGCGCCCGACCACTAACCTACCACAATGCAGGTCAGGCTTGGACTCTAAACATGTTCGGATTGAGATCCTCGAGCTGGTCAGTCTCACGGGCGGTTAAGCAAATCTGCGCCAGGCCTTGCAAGTTTGACAAAGATGGCAAGTACTAGTATTACTATTCTTACGAAAATCATTACTGCTAGTATCACTATCAGGATCATTACGATTACTACTACTACTACTACTATCATTTCTACTATTATTATCAATATTAGCATTACTACTATTATGACAACTATGATTTTTATATACCTGATTCTTGAATCCAGGTGAGCCAGTACGTATCCGCAGCAATCACAGGAACGCAATGCAAGGCTACACACGGGATTCATGATTCAGTGACTACACTTCTCATACATAAACTTCGTGCATATATACATATATATTCATACACCTAATTATTTATTGATATAGTGATAGTGCGTGGGGAGGGACAGCTGAATAGCAACGAACAAACTGGACAAAATCAAGTGCACTATGTGTCGTTGTGGGGAAGCTCCTGCAGAGTTCGCACGCAGCCAGATCGGAAAAGCTTCTCACGAGCGCTAGATGTAGCAAGAACGGATGAAATATGTTGGAATCACGAAGAGGGAATTCAAAACGACGGTGAGTGAGTGAAGCAGATCAATTTCTTTTTGAGGATTATCAAGTGTAGTGATAATCACGAGCAAGACACCTGCAACTTTTGTGTCTTGAGCCCAACAGATTCGGTGTATAACATCTCGGTGTGAAACTGCTTCATATGATCTACACATGGGTCAAGAGCACATGATTTCCCAACTCCAGCCGTGTAAACAGCGTGAAGCAGTTACCTACAAAAAGGACGTTCTAGGAACTGCTTGGCGCTCCAAATCCTAGCCCAATCAGCAACTGAATTTCAGAGTGTTTCAGTTCAGCATGTGCTCGCGGCGTAAAAGCCACTACGACTATGCGGGACTGAGTGGTGCCATCCCATGGCACGGTGCAGTAGAAACCGGCCTGGAAGGTTGCAGGCATGCTGTGGGCATTGCAGTTCACCAAAAGGAGCTTCGATCCACAACTGGCCACCACCTGCTTTAATAAGCCGGAACACAAAATCGTAAGACGTTGGGTCGTTGAACTTGTCAGAACGCAGCGGAAACTGACAACCATTGTAATCAATGACAGCTGTAAACGTCAGATTCTCGGCCTGCTGCCGAATGAACCTGGTAAACACAATTGTTACCCCCAAGAACTTGGAGGTGTTGCTCCGTAACCCAACAATACCCCCTCCGTGTGCGTAAGCACCAGTTGTACATCCCTTCCGTTCAGTAGAGATTACGGGGCGCGATGCATCATCACAGGGCAAAAGATAGAATGACAGTCTGTGTGGCAGGATGCCGGCAACAGACTCGGGGTCAGACCCTGCAAACGGATCTTCAAGCACTGGATGGAGCTGCAGCTGCTGTGGCATTAGCCGACCTATCCGGGAATTTGGGAAACATGCAAATTTGTGAAGCACCGGTCTAGATGAAACACCAATCCTCGAGAGCAAGTAGTGCGAAATCCCATCTTCATAGGAGGACCTTGCAGGCTGTACAGACTTATACGCGCGAAGCCCTGGATTGTGTTTGGCAGGTTGACCCTTTGCTGGAATGGTGTCCATTTCTGCCTCTAGCTCCGCCTTCTCTTTCCTAAGCCAGAGCTTTAGTTTCGTTGAGTTTGTGGGTCTGTACGTTTTCCTCGTCTAGGAATAGCGAGTTACCCTGAATATCCCAGAATATTACCTTAGCCATACAACTTACACCCTGAATTACCTGGTTATAGCTGAGCTTTTCCGTAGCTAGCCTTTTTGTAGACCCTTCTATTGGTTTGGTTCAGGGTTTAAGGTATAGGGGTGGGAGAGATTGGTTTGCCAAAGTATGGGTGTAGCGTTTAGGGTTTAGGGGTGGGAGATGCATCTATGTGTTCCCAGCTCCTTGCTGACGATTCTTGCGAACCTGACTTGTACAAATCGACGATCTTTGGCGATATATTTGCAGAGTGTTGTTTAAAATCTGCCGATGTTTGCGAAAATCTGTTGATTTTTGCAACAATCCGAAGATTTTTGCGAAAATTTGCAGATGAAAAGAAAAAATTTGCAGATCTAGAGAAAATTTGCAAGTTTTTTGCGAAAATGTGACGATGTTTTCATGACGAGATTTGCGAAAATCCGAAGATTTTTCTGCAAAGCTGCCATCCGGCAAAAAATACTCGGCCGAGGCATCTTTGGGTTTTGGGAATGTTGCGAACTAACGACACGAAGTCATTGTTGGCTGTTTGAATTTTTGCGAATATCCGCAAATCGGCACGCAGACTTTACGTGCAGCATTTAGTTGACTTAGGTTAGCCCTGTGCGCCCTTGGCATGTGGCGGAGCTTAGGTGAGTAGCCAGACTTGGGAATGGCTATCACAGTGTAATCGTCCTGCCTATAGTGCACTGGAATCTCGAAGCCAAGGGCCAAGGGTGTCTGCGACATGTCCCTGTAGATTTTCAACTTCAGAAAACATGGCCGTGGCAAGTGAGAATGTTTCTGCTTCAGTTGTCAAACGATCAGTGGACGACTGCTTGCGTGAAACCAGTGCTGCAGGAATACGCATTCGCCTGTCTTCGCCATTACTAACATCCCGGCTGCGCTTTTGGATGATAGCGGGCATGATGCAAAATCAGCGTCCGTATAAACCTCCATGTGATATGCCAAGTCCTTCTGCGACGCTGAACCTTTCAACGTTAGTTGGCTAGAATTTAGAAGAATGCAGATAGGATATGCAACGTAGGAGTTGGCGATCGTCAAATTTATCCCATTTACTGAGTTTTGAAGCTAGCCTCCTAATTATGAAATATATATCTGGGCGTGTTAATCGACTCAACCAGAGCCCGCATCAGTATACAGGAGGCTGTTCCATGGAGATCACCGATGCTTTATAGCTCCCTATCAGTTGCCTGGGCTTCAGGAAAAGCAGGTGAAGGCATTTACACGTTGAGGACTGGCTTTTGAGAGCCTGCGGCGAAAACCCACGAGCTGGGGTCCGCAGAGCTTTCGCTCCCACCGAGCTTTATTTTACCCGACTCCGGATGCCCGTAAAGGCTTTTCTCCAACTGCACGATTAGACGAAACTCTGGTGAGCACTGCTGGCGCTAAGCTGGTAACCACAGTTCGAACCGGATGATTACCCAGGTCTCTCGACCAACAGGTAATGTAAACAAGCCTGTGTTGCGTCTTCCACCAGGTAGCGTGCCTGGGAGGCAATCCATAAAACAGACATACCGCGAGACCTAGTTCCGTTTGGGTCTTAGCAATCTCGTCGGACCCAAAATCCCTGACCTGGTCGCCTCGAAAGACTCAGACGACCCGGCCTCGAGGGTCGAATTCGAAAACTCCTTCATTCCACGGAGAATCAGGAGCTCGGCTATTTGGACCCTACGCCCAGACTTCCGGCACTTCTGTTAGTCCGACCCCTTCAGCTTCAACAGCTTCAGAGGCCACGTTGGTCTCTTAGCCATTCGCTCTTTGCGAGGCTGCGGGTCACCAGCACGTTATTAGCCCACAACTAAGGTACGTTGCGGCAGTAACGTTCAAGGAAGAGCGTTTCAATCACTAGTTGGGCAAACTGTGCCGCGCAGTGACCTGTGGCCTTTGTCTTTGAACCCCCTGCAGGCTCACGCGGACGCGACCTCACATGGATGCTGGCCGAACAGTTGATGCACCCTGAAGGAGGTAGCGCTTACGCACCATGGTCTCTTTATGGGATCGCGGGAACCCCTTAAGCCAGGCGCGCACCCGTGAAAGGTCACCCTCTTCAAGCTAGCTTGCTTCTCGAACTCCACGCATGCGGGTTCTCACCAGAGAAGATTGTTCTTGGGCCACTCTGCTGAGACATGGCTGCCTTGCTCTAGCTTTTCATATTTTCGGCGCAGGGCAAATGGCAGACCCTTGTTTGATCTGACCTTTGCTTGGGCAATGTGGCCAGGGTTAGCCTGTTCGAAAGTAGACACGCCTAGCCTAAGACAGACACCCCCATACATGGCACTAGCACATCCAATCTCAGAGTCGTCCTCACGACACTACTCTATGTTCTGATTGCTGCATGATGGTTTGGACCAGCAGAACTGACCATCTCTAGCAAGGAGGGTTTCATCTGGGACAAACAGCTCGTGACTTACCATTGTTACGTCATCCGACTGAGCACACTCGCTAAGGCGGTCGCTTTCGGCATCCTTGGGATCTACTTCAGGCTCTACTGGAGGACCAGGAGTTAAAGGTGCAGGTGCAAGTGGGGAGGCTGGTGTTGGAGGAAGCCTGACCGGTGTAGGGGGCAAAGACTTGCTACGGGCTTCCGCTGTCTTGTCTGCCCGAATGAGACCATTAAAACGAACCTGATAAACCGGCGAGTGTGTGGCAGACTCTCCTTTGCACGCTTTGCAACCTGGAGTCCCCCCGTACAACGTGATATACTCTCACGCCGTTTCGCTGGTTCAGAGTCGGGGCTATGCAAGCGGGACGCATGGGCAAAACCTCTTCGCCCTCGGGGACAAACAATTCTTCCGAAGGCACGGACACAGCTAAGTCGACCCTACAGCTCCTGCTTTATTTTTCTTGTAGTCAACCACGAGATATACTCCCTTAAAGGATTCAGGACCTGAATCTAGCTTAGAAGCGCAAAACTATGCCGGGGCAGCTGAAAGCTCGAACCAGAACTTCTCCAACTGTTTGGGATCAATTCTGTAGCACACTAGATGGCCGAGCAACAAGCAGCGTACAGGCAACTCTTCCCCTGTAGCGGCTACATAGCGGGAGACTTCGCGACCCGCAACGCCGTGTTTGAGATTCAGAACGAACGGCGCGAAAACCGAAGAGTGGACCCAAAGACCTGGTCTGATCGCAAAGTCGGCTTGCAAGTGAACGGTTCGCGTCACCTCTTGGATCTTGGATTGACGTTATGTATGTCTCTGTCTAAAACACAATTATGGGGCCGACGTCAGCTGGCACTTTGTCTTCATGCTCTGGGTCGGCCGGAACTTCAGGAGCCATAACGGGCTCGCGCTCGACTGACCTTTTCACATCTGATGATGATGATGACGATGATGATGATGATGATGTAATGATCAAGCGGCTTCAGCTGGGGAGCCGTTCGATTTTTGCATACACAGGATTTTGGGAACTCAGTTGAATGTTACCATCTTGGTCAGATATAACTGACGACGAATCAGGCAAGAAGAAATGGAAGCGAACCTGGCAATGGATGTGAAGTTGAACGCAATGATCACTCAACCCCGGTGGCTTGGCTTGGCTCTAGCTGAAACGGGGCGTACAGTTAACAGTACAAGCATGGAAAGAAAGGGTAAAGTGCTAACCGGGTAGGTCTGCGAAGACCAATGGCACGCCGAGTTCAAGCTTTACCCTACGTGGAGCAATATGGCAATATGGAAGGGCTATGGCCTCAGTAGGCTCTACGCTAATTTCACGGCTCTACGCTAATTTCACCAAAGCAAAGTGCTGAGGCTGTTAGCCAGTTATTTTGAGGATTACCAAGTGTAGTGATATTCACGAGCAAGACACCTGCAACTGTTGTGTCTTGAGCCCAACAGATTCGGGGTATAACATCTCGGTGTGAAACTGCTTCATGATGATCTACATAAGATGGGTAAGGACATGATTTCTCGACTAGATCAAAGGAAAATTGTGTAGCCGATACGGACACAGGGTGTCGCATATAATTTGCTTGTGTTTGTGATGCTGCGGGGTACTGCAAATGGGATGGTGGCTGATAGTGTGCAGAAACAGGAAATGTTCGTGGTTCCATAGCATTACATGCAAGAGGCCAAGCAGTACTCATGAAGAAAGAGCCGCTTTACATGATTGCGAGTAAAACGTACCAGGACGATACATGGACAAATGCCAAGAATGGTTGAGCAGAGGAAAGTGCGGGCAACCATGATGGCAACGAAGACAAGAAAAGCACATCATGAGAAGTCACGTCAAGAGCTTCCGCGTAATCCTTCGAGTCCTCAGGGCTCAGGGCTTGGGGGCTGGGCCGTTGTCGTTGAGCTCCGAGTGCCGGAGGTCCAGGACCCGGATCCGACCCTCCGCCCGTAGAAGGGAGGCCAAGGCCTCCGATGTTTGAGAAGTCTAAGAAGTTGAAGAAAGAAGAAGTTAAAGGGATGTTGAAGCCTGAGCCGGGCTCTCCCTTCCCTGCCTCGCCACCGCGGTTCCGGCTGGGACAGCCCGGGAGGTCCTTGACCTGAAGGTGTGGGGAGCTCTGCCAACGTCCCCAAGGTTCCGGAAGTTTCAGTGGCGGACCACGAGCTTTGTACCCTCCTCCTGGTACTCCAGGCTCAGGCCAGCCTGACCCGAAGTCAGAACACGGCTTAGCCGGCTGAGGCCTAGGCCCAAGAAGTCAGGCCTCAGCCAGCAGCTGTGGGATTGCCATCTTGGCCTACGCTGCCGTGTTCTGCCGTGTTGCCAGTGAACTGGACTGGGACCTCTGTGACAACAAGTTCCACACAAGCATCAAGAAGCACTTGGTGAGACTCTGAGCCCAGGCGGCACAATTCGGAGAAACACGATGCAATGCGCGCGCAAGAATGCAGGGAGCGCCAGCTCGATTCGTCCAGCAAACAAGCAGCTTCGTTTCAGCTCACCATATATCAACGGCTGCAGCATGTCCTCAACTCATTCTGTCGGCTTTGCCTTTCACATTTTGGCGCGCTGGCTGGCAACGCGGCTACTCCTCACAAGACACGAGTCAAGAAGCTGGACGAGGAATCTGTGCAGGCGGTGCAGGTGCCAAAGCCGGGATCTACTTTCGGCATTCGGTCAAGTACTTGTGCGCTTCTGAAATAATGTCCAATGGATCGCGCCTGCACGGGGTAGAAGTGATGGACTTTCACGCGCAGGTTCTCTTCCAGCTGGCCGCTTTTCTGTCACGAGAGATTCGCAGCGCTTTGGCTACAGTCAGGAGCTTTGCTTTACTGTCGGGGAATCAGTGGTAGCCTTGCAGTCCAATCCGAAGCACAATCTGCTAGTGACCGAGAGGTGGAATATGTCCAACTATGGATGACACAGCCTCTCTAGACTGTAGGTGTCCTGAAGCAAGGCCTCCAAACGGCTCTTGACGAAGAGGAAGAGGGGGCTCTCCTCGAAGTGGTCGTAATTGTCACACTTGTAAGGCGTGTGGCACCAGAGGTAGAAGTACCTCTGCACAGAGCTTTGCCTTAGCCCCGCAAAAAGGGCGCTTCTTTTGTCTCACAGGGTCCCACCCCAGACCCGAGAAGAAGGAGATCTGGACGTAGCGCAGCCTGCAAGGCACGCAGACTTTGCATGCAGGAAGACCACGCCTTCTCCCAAGGGCCGGACATGAAGCGCACTTTGTCACGCGAGAAGTACGGGAAGAAGCGAAAGACCTGAGCTGCAACAGACTCGCGCATGGCTCAGTGCAAGGGAGAACGCTGCTTCAGTGGGACATCTCTTGCTCAGGCTTCGTATGCTGCAATGGTCCTTGTCGCGCGAAAACGACTTCGCAAAGAAAGACGCTTCCTGCTACCAGCTAACACGAAAACATTGAAGTGAAAACCTTTCTGAGATTCCAGAGTCGTGCTCGCTTCCAACTTCAAATGTTAAACTGCTAAAGCTTTGCCAAGCACTGGCGGCCGGCCAATCCAAATAGTCCGATGTTCCGAATATTAAAAAATGATCTTGAATACGAAATTCCAGGGCGTAAAAATCCGGAAGAGCACATTCAAAAAGAGCAAAACTACTTCAAAAGGGGTCACCTACTAATGAATTAGCGGAGGTTCTGGAATGATCAATTACACATTCAGTTGATTAATCAAGCAAGTTATCGCAATTGATTAACTATTCAAGTAGATGGGATATCTAATTGATTTTGGAAGTTCATTAGTTCATGGTTGATTTTCCATGGAGCTTAAAGGCAGCCCGATTAAAGGGTTGCAATTCATGCGTAGCCACCCCCTCACATTAAACTAATTTTCGGTGCCCGGATTACTTTATTACGGGGTTTGACATCAGGGGGAAGGGATTGAATCTCTAGGCTGCCAAAAAAACCGCAAGTGAAGACCCACTCTTGCAAATGGACAGAGAGAGACCTGAGGTGCTGGCCCAATCCACCGGGACGAATGGAAAGGACTGGCTGCCGGCCTGTGGGCAAAGGCGGAGAAGGCCCCGCCTTTTCTAGCATTGACCACCCCTCTCCCTGACAACCGTCATTCCCCTCCAGTACTGAGATACAAGCCTACTCTGGGAAAGCTCGTCAATGAAGGGAAGTTAGCTCGGTTTGGGTGGTTAGCAAGGCTGCCCTCTGCCTGGGTGAGGCTTCGAGGCAGCGCCAGCGATGACGATCGCGCACTTTGGGCGGCGCCAACAGCGCCGGCGGCGGCACGGGCTGCACGCAAAAGGCCCATGGCGCCCAGCACTCAGCACAGGTCTTCGAGCCAAATGCTGCCTTAAGTGACCTGGTAGCACTTGTAGGTTCTCCAAGGTAGGGCTGGGAAGCTTTCAAAATGAAAAGCCCCTTCCACAGTGGCTACTTTTTTGATTACGTTGGAAATTCTGTTGTGGCGGTTCTTTCTGCCGACCCGTCTCCTTCTCTTTTTTTGTCCTCAAGTGAGGCCCAGCTGCTCCATGGCGTCCTCGGGAAGAAGCAGAGCAGCAGAAAAGCAGCGAGAAACCTCTCAAAAGAGAAAGAAGCTCCTTGCCGGTCGCCAGCTCCGCCTGGAGTGTCTTGGGAAGCAGTCGGAATTTTGGGACAGAGTTTGGAGCTTTCGATTTTTTAAGTTGCGAACCTTGAAAGTCACCTTCCAACCTCCTCTGAGAAGCTTTCTTCGCTCAGCTTGGCTCCCCGGCAGCCAGGATGCCCATCGTCGCAAACATGGCAAACCTCTGCAGCGCAGCGTTTTGGGCTTGGTCTAGGTTCCGGAAAAGGGGGGGGAGGGGGGCTCTTGCGCCTAGAGGCCCTTGAAACCTCTAAACCCCTAACCCCTTGCACCCCTAAACCCAAAACTCCTAAACCCCTAAACCCAAAACCCCTAAATCCCTACACCCCTAAACCCTGGACTCTGAGTCCTTGAGCCCTAAACCCCTTAACCCCAAAACCCTATGTCTCCCGGTGGGCCTGCCATTATTCAGCTCTCGGTTTCGCAGCTCCTGGAGATCCGCGCCGAAGGTCAGCAGCTGGAAGTTCAAAGGGTCTGGCAGGACTCCGGTTTGGGGCTTTGGTCTTGGTGCTTGGGGTTCCGATCGCAGTAAGGAGTCAGGGACAGTTTGTTTATTCACAGGAGTGCTTGTGCCAGTGGATGTCTTCCTTCCTTGCAAGGCAGTTGAAAGAACAGCCCAACAGCCTTTGAGTGCCACTTTTCAGATTTGTTGCACATCAGGTTGTTTTGTGCCTGGTCAGACGGAGCATGCCAGCCGTGGCCGGAGAATTCATTTCCTTGCACCTCCTGGAACCTTGTTGCGCAAGAATCTGGCACTGAAGGCTAAGCCCTTGGAGATAAGGTTCAATTGAAAGTTTCCTTCAATGACCTCTATCGAATGCTTATTGGGATACTTTGATAATCTCTACGTGCCAATGTTGGGAAACTCCACACATGAGGATGCCTTTTGACAGTACCATAAGTGGCGAAAGCTTGCAGAGCAGTCTGCCATTTCATTGAGGCTTTGTCAGCTGGACCGAACCTCCAAAGTCGCCCACTTCCTTCGAGGCATCCTCGAGCGGCGTGCGCATCAAGGACAAGGCCACAGGGTGAAGGTATGGAGCAACTTCATGTTTCCAAAACCCAGATTCTGATTTCTACAAACTCAGCCGAAGACTGGAGTGCTGAATTCAGGCAGCAGCGCGACCTCAGTAGCAAGGAAGTGGTTCTTACTCGCCGCATTTGCGGACATAAGCTGCTGGCGCCGAAGAGCGTGAAGAGGCCAATCTGCCCAGGCCTGGAAGCAAACTAATCCTGAGACTAAACCCCAAGTTGGACAAGAAAGGGCTGAAAGGGTCACGTCACCGACGGCCACCGCCCACCATGAGGCTTTCACGCACTTCAGAGAACCCTTGGGTACAAGGCAGTCAAAGCAAAGGGCGCGCTCTACTAGTAGCAGCGGTGCGTCTCACAAGCACGATGGATCCTGCGCAGGTCGCGTGACCATGCTATCCACGTAGAGAGACATAGCAGAGGAAAAGAGGAGGAGAAAAGAGGATAGGCAAAGCCGCTGGGCTCCCGGCACCTCGAAAACGGCACCTGGCATAGCGGCATAGTGTGACAGAATGGGTTTAGGGTTATGGAGTATGTCTCAGCTGCGTTTGCACACCCAGACAGCAACAAAACACCTGCCATCTTCATATACAACCATGAACCCAAATGATCAAATCATGAGAAAAAATTAGAACAGTGACTGTCGCAGCCTCTGAGGAGTGAGGGCTTAGAAGGAGAGGTTTGCGGTTTGCACATTCAACGGCAGGGTGGCTTCAAAGGTCATCGTGAGCACAACTGAAACTGCCTGATGTCTTGCGGCCACATCTCTTACATAGCTCCCACCCAGGAACGTAAGCTGTTTGACAGATTTATGCCTCAGGCCCAGAATTTGCAGAAGTTGTGATCCTTGGCCCTGCACCGACGCCGTTGGGGAGCTCATCGAAAACAGCTATTGGAAAGCGCAGGTAGTGCCTGGGGCAGTCGCGGCTTCGGGAACAGTTCATGACAGGCACCACATGAAAAAATGCGAGTTAACATCATGCACGCATGTCCCCCACCAAAGGTAGGCTCTGAGGAGCCTTTGCGCATGGAAAACACTGAGGCAGAGACTGGCCGACGAGGCCTATGGCAGCGAGCATGGCTATGCCTGAGCCCGTAGTCAGGGACGCAGGTGGCAAGTGATGTTTGGTGTGTAAACGTTGGTATGTTGCAGCCTTTATGCATTCAATCTCTTAGCTCTTTCTTGGGCCGGGCACGGCCGTGCTTCAGCTCGCTCGTTCGAAGCTGTCGGAACTTGATCTGCCAGCAAGTTATGGCAGGCCATGCCCTGGACTGGTTACTTAGAACTCCATCGGACATCGAGGTTCCACAAGAACCTAGGTAGGCTTTTTCCAATTTGCACAGTGGGGTTGCTAGCTTTTGAAGACTGTGCTCGTCTAGCCTTCCATGCAGCGTCTAACCGCAGATTACCCCTGTAATGCCCATCCCCGCAATATCCGTACAATCTTTGCAAACGCCTTGTAACCCCTTCACAAGAATATGTGTAGGCCATGCAACCCTTCTCAAGGTCCCTGTAAGCCCTTTGAAAGTGACCCTGGCTTATGGTTTCCCTGAGTCCCTACCTGGATGCTCGTGCGCCGGTGGACAAGCCATATAACCCGTATACAGAGACCCTGCGCAGCCCTTATAACTTCTAACTTTTTTGAACAGGCCCTATGTAAGCATTAGAATTCTTTGAAGGGACTAACCGTCCTGTTAACCCCTTTAAGTGGACTCTATGTAGGCCCTTGAACCTATGTAGTATGTAGGCATTGTTATCTCTATAGGAGACCCTGTGTAATGTGGCACCCAAGTTAATGGAGGAGTCCGGAATAATGAAAAGTGTCGGGGAAACTATTCAGGATCAGATATTGTTTGAGGGGTCCGGAATAATGAAAAGTTTTGGGGACAGAAATAAGGAAATGGCTGATTTTGATTCCTAAACCTGTTTATATATGTCTTGTTTTAACTAAGAAAAGCAATCAGAAACAGCT